AGAATTCTATTCTATTCTATTCTATTCTATTCTATTCTATTCTATTCTATTCTATTCCATTCCATTCCAATTTCCATTCCTTTTCCCATCCCCATCCCCATCCCGAACCCCTTCCCTATTCTATTCTATTCTATTCTATTCCCCATTTCCATTTCCATTCCATTTCCATTTCCATTTCCTTTTCCCCTTCCCCTTCCCCTTCCCCTATTCTATTCTATTCTATTCTATTCTATCAAAGTCAGGACAAATAACATAGAGAAGGAAAAACAGAGGAGAAGATGTGGGCATGCTCCAGAATGACAACAGAAAAAATGATATGAAAGCCATTGAGGAAAATTCTATGTTCATTATGGTTACATCAGATTGCACTACTTTTCTCTCAAAGATGATCTAACAGGTCACAGATTCTTAAATGTTAAAAGACGTTAATATAAGATTGAGTTACAATAAACGTTCCAATCTGACTGCTTTGGAAGTTGTGCCAGTCACAGAAGTTTATGAAAAGAATTATTCTGAGAGACTAGAAAAGTGCTGTTATTCCAGACATTAAGGATTGGCTTTTGGAAATATGCAATGTACCAGTTTTACTATATTTTCCAACTAATTAGAAAATGAAATAATATATTCTTCTTTGGTATAAATAATGTGATTGAAAATTCTAGGAGATATAATTGTAACACACCTAGAAGGCAGTAGAAGAACTAAAATTTGGTTAAAATGGTATTACACAAATGTTTTAAGGTATTTCTATTTTCTAGTCCTGATTCTGGTTCAAAATGCATTCTAGAAAAATCCAAGTGGTTTTGACTCTTCTCTTTCTTGTAACTCTTCTCCTGTGTAAAGTAATTCTGAGCATGAGTAGAACTGACAAGAAAAAATAAATGTCATAAAGACAGTTTCTATTTTCTTCTGACAGACTAGAAAGAAAATAACATGCGGTCCTTCACTTATGACTACAATGGGGCCTCAAATTTTTGGTGTTAAGTCAGACATTTGTTGAATGAGTTTTGCCCCATTTTACTAACTTTCTGGTCACAGTTGTTAATTGAATCACTTTAGTTGATAAGCTAGTAACCCAGTGATTTCTGGGTTCCCTCGTTGATTCTGCTTATTAGAAGTTTGCAAAAGGTGATCACATGACCCTGGGACACTGCAACTGTCATAAATGAGAATCAATTGTCAAGCATCTGAATTTTGATCATATGACTATGAAGATGCTGCAAAGGTCATAACTGTGAAAAACAGTCATAAGTCACTTTTTTCAATGCCATTGTAATTTTGAATGTTTACTACACAAACTGTTGTGAGTCGGGGACTACCTGCAGAGATGACTGAAATGTTCTATGTATGCCTGTGAGTGTTCCTTTCGTAAGAATTTGGTCGTGACAAAAAAATAATTAATCAGGTTTTATAATTATTCAGCTGCAAGAAATACATTGTTTGGATGGGCATAGTTTAGCACTTAGGTGATTCTATCCTACCAGGAGAAGATTGAAGGAGCATGTGTTTGTTCATGTGTGCTTGAGAAAAAACACAGAAGGAAGTGACCTCAAATTAGCAATTCTTAGACAAACAGCAGGCAGAGAGATAGACGTGGAGGGACACAGGATACATTTTTAAGTGTTATCTATTACGGGTTTTTTATCAGGAAATTAGTGGAACAAAGAGACATAGTAATCCAATAAAGAAAGGAAAATGAGAAAAATTTGGAGCAACTCAATCTAGTTGAATGACAGAATTGCTCTGACAGGCTTTCAAGATTCGGTTACATTACCCTCTTAACAATAAAGATCCTTCCTTACACCAAGAGGTTCTTCTTCCCTGAGTTTGCCATCTTTGCAGGACTTGACATAATTTCTACCTTGTCGTCAAGAGTTGAAAAGAAGGAAAAGAAGGACTAGTAGTTGTGGGTGCTCCAACACTGGCAGTTTTTAAGGAAAGATTGGACAACAATTTGATGGTGTAGAGTTTCCCGCTTGAGCAGGGAGTAGGATTAGAATACCTCTAACTTTGTTATTCTATGAAAAAGAGTTGCTGAAAAGTCAATGAAGCAAAAAGTCCATCAGCAAAATAAGCCACCTCTTCTTGGACTGAGAACGAGTGATCAAATGCCCAAGATGCTTCTTCTCTTCTATTCTAAATGGACTGTCAATTTCAGACAGAACAAAAAACTTAAAATGAAGTTCCCCATCTATGGAATGAAGAGGGATATAGAGGGATTTTGTGCAATTGCAGGCCCAGTCATAAAACTGATCACTATGGGGCTGATTCCCATTAGAATTTCCATCACCGTAGATTTGCATCTTCATCTCCTTTGCCAATTCCCTACGTGCCTGAAAATAGCAGTTTTTGAAAGATAAATGCATTAATAATAAAATTACTACACTCTTTATATTTAATAAATCTGATACATTGTTTGGTTCTTATGTAGAAATGGACTCCCCCTTCCCACCCATGCTCGGTCAGAAGTCTTTTTTTAGCATCTATTAAGTGGAAATCTTTTAAATATTATATGCAAGACTCAGTGAATAAATGCATTACACAGAGAAACTATATTAAATATTTTGAACAAATGAAGTTTATCTCTCTTTATGTATTTACTTTATATCCGTTATTTAGCCAACTGTAGAAAAGAATATATGGTATGCTGAAACAGCATGACAACAAATAAGTATCGAGTACCTATTAGGGCTCTGTCAATAGGAGATAACAAAGAGGTAGATGGGTTTTGTAATACAGCATTTGGGAATTGATTTGTAATTAAAATGATGTTTGTCTTACTCTTTTCTCCTCCCCGGTGGACTCCTCCAATTCCTCCAGTTACAAAAACTGGAATTCTTGCTTTGTGTGCCACAATCATGGTTCCGGAAACAGTAGTTCCCCCAGACAATCCCTGTCATGGAACAACCAATAATTATTCAGATTTCATATTTTTCAAATAAGCAATAAGTGATATGTGTGAAAGGTTGAAATGTTTTCAAAGATAAAGTTAAGATAGAAATTTTTAAAATCATGATTTGTTGAACAATCCATAATGTCTTTCACCTACAATACTAAGCTAAAATATTAGATTCCTATATTATTCTGAAGAGAAAAACATAACAATATGGTTTAGTGCAATGTGTGAACTAATCCATTGCCAATTCAGTCTGAAAATTCAGTTAAACCCCAACACGTCTACAGAGATTTTCAGTCATCCAGGTCATATTTGTCATATGATATATAATATAATTATATTATATTAATATAATATAATCTTATATTAAAAGGCAATTGGAGTGTTTTTTTAGGAAGAAGTGAAACATCATCTTCTTCCTCAAAAAACAGCCAAGCTCCCTTTAAAAAAAAAAAAAATAAAGCAATTTTTAGCCCCAATACTTCGTATTTGCCTTATGGCATTATCTTTGATAACAAGGACCTGCCTTTGTTCCCAAATGTTTTTTCCTAGACATTCAGGCAGCGGTGATAATAAGTAGTGTAGGAGGAATAGCTGAGGAAAAATTACAGGGTGTCATAAGACTTCAAATATTTCAAGAGCTCTTGTACAAATGGCATGTTCTCTGTTGCCTTGGACACTGAGATTAACACTTATAAATAATATTTGGAGAAAAAGCCCTGTCTTGTGAAACATTAGGAGAAACCTCTGAATAGTAAGTACTACTAAGCAGTGAAAAGAACTCCTTCAACACCAGTGGGATTTAAGATGCTGAATGGGTATCTGAGCCTAACTCTTAAGGTTTTGTGACTCTATGAATTGAAAAGCAAACATGAGGTTACCGGATGTATGGTAACTTCCAAGCACAAGCAAAACAAATAGACTGAGAACTAGTTCCTTTTCATACTCACATGGAGTCAAACAGCCATGTGCCTCCTTTTTATAGGCTGGATGAAAATCAGGGTGGCAATGCCAATGTTTCTGACTCCAGTGTGAAAAGCTTGCTCATGGGCTGATTAGGTTCCCTAGAAAATGAAGGCACTCTGTGAAAACACTAAGCTGAATGTAAGAAGGATGGAATAGGCAACTGCTTGGGGCTGGTGGATATATCTGGAATGCTGAAAGCACATTCATAAGGTATGTCATCAAATAGCTTGTATAAGTGGCTTACCTATTTACAGAATGGATGCCAAGATGTCTGGTTACAAAACAACTAAAAAAAACCCAATTTGGCTTATGGTATAAAAGAGACTTCAATCTCTTTGTAGACAGAGACCACTCTAAACTAAGAAACAAATTTTACTGATTATTGTCAACTTTTCTGTTTCTCATTTCATGTTGAAATACACTTGGATTTCATAAATGAAATCCAAGTGTATTTCAACATGAAATGACAAATATTTGTTTGGAAATAGCCTCTCCAAAGTTTATAAGGAAAGTTCACCAAACTCTAGCTGCCAACTGGAGATGGTTTTGCTTAATCCTAATCCCCTGTCAAAAAACCTCTGACTCAGCTGTTTGAGTACTGGTTTTGCGGATTCACTCACAGGAAAATTTCCACCAGTTGAGCCTTGTCCCTAATTTATGTAACCCAAGCAAATTAGAATGAGGAATTCCATCAAGTACCTGGCTGAGAACATAGGGGAAGTCTCTGCGAGAGACTTTCACGACGTCCTTGGCTGTTCCCAGAGTGTCCAGTTCTTCATCTTGGAGGCCCACATGGATGTGGCCATTTAATATGCCAATAGTTGCTGGCACACACCCATTTGCTCTGACAATTTCTTCCACTTCTCTGGCCATGCTGGAAAATTCAATATATGGCAACACAGACAGTGAAAGAAAAGTGAAGAGGGTGAAAAAACCAAAATATTTAAGTTAACACAGAACTTCATTTCATTTGCACAAAGCTGAGCAAAGACTAAAAAGTAAAAAATAGAAAAGATCAGCACCATAAAGATGGCTGAGTCACAAACAACTCTTATTTAGGATTTCTCTCTGCTTTTTCTCTTTTCTTATATAAGTGACAAATGATAACTCTCAGATCCATCTATGCTCTCTGTTTGAGAGGCAATTGCAATAACAAGAACACTTAGACTTATATACCGCTTCACAGTGCTTTACAGCCCTCTCTAAGCAGTTTACAGAGTCGGCCTATTGCCCCCAACAATCTAAGTCCTCATTTTACTGACCTTGGAAGGATGGAAGTCTGAGTCAACCTCGAGCCGGTGAGAATCAAACTGCTGAACTGCAGCAGTCGGTCATGTGGCCGGCATGACTAAATGCCAAAGGCTCATGGAACGCTGTTACTTTCCCATGAAAGGTGGTTCCTATTTTTCTACTTGCATTTTTACATGCTTTCGAACTGCTAGGTTGGCAGAAACTGGGACAAGTAACGGGAGCTCATGTTACGCAGCACTAAGGATTCAAACTGCCGAAACGCTAACCTTTCTGATCGACAAGCTCAGTATCTTAACCACTGAGCCACCACATCCCTCTATAAATCTATAAGAAACCAATAAAAATGGGGTCTCTTCAAAACTCTTCATTTCCAGGACCACCATATCTGGACTGTGTTTTCTCTTCATACTCCAAATTAATTTCTCCCCTCCACCTGCTCCCCAGTTTCTCACAGGCCTTGTGGGAAGAGGACACATGTCTGCATCAGCCTGAAACTGTCAATAAGTAACTATAAAGGAGAATATTTGTAGGCCAGAGTTGAAATGAGGAGTCCTTTGTGCTCTCTAAGCTTGGTGGTTTTCTTGCAAATGATTCATTTCCCAAACTAGATAATATTATCAATGCCAGCAAGGAATGGGATTTGTTCACAATTTACTAGTGGTTTGCCCTTTCAATGTTGGTGGGAATGGTCTTGGAGGTTATTTGGTTGGGCTGTTTACAATTAGCTTGTTTGGCAGTTCTTTGATTGGGATATTGTTTACTTTTGATTGCTGCTTTATGTTAATCTATGCTCATTCTAGTTGCTAATTGCTGGTGGGGAGGTGTTTTTGTCATTCTATGCCTTTTTGGCTTGTTGACTATCTCTTTTGCCGACTAAGTAAACATTGTCTATGTCTAGCTTTCTATTGATGGTCATATTGTCATAGTGCCAGGCTTCCAGGAATTGTCTAGCATCTTTGAACTTGCTTTAGTTTAGGATGGTCACAATAAGTAACTCTCTGATCCCATGGACAACTGATCATTTGATTTTGCCTCTTATGTAATGGACAGCAAAGATCTCTCACACCTGCTGCTATCAGCCGAGGTGGCACAGTGGTTAAATGCAGCACTGCAGGCTACTTCAGCTGACTGCTGTTCTGCAGTTCAGCGGTTCAAATCTCACCGGCTCAAGGTTGACTCAGTCTTCCATCCTTCCGAGGTGGGTGAAATGAGGACCCGGACTGTGGGGGTGATATGCTGACTCTGTAAACCGCTTAGAGAGGGCTGAAAGCCCTATGAAGCGTTATATAAGTCTAACTGCTATTGCTATTGCTGTCATCAAATGTTCTTAGCTTCAGAGAGAAAATAGTATTTTAATGCTGGTATATGTAAGGATGATTTAAGCATGTCTGTTTCATGAGTGGGAATAAACTGAATGGTTTCTTAGAATAACACCCTCCAAAATTTTGGCCACCAGGGACCGGTTCCGTGGAGAGAGGTTTTCCCACGGACTGGAGGGGGTGTGGTTTCATGTACTGCCTGCATCCTGTGGTTGGGGCTTTGCTTGTTTATATTGCCTGGTTTCTGGCATATTGCAGCCTGGTGCCAGTCCGCAGACTGGGGGTTGGGAACCCCTATCCTAGAGGAGATAGTAGAAAAAAAAACAATTTCCAGAGCAGGTTTTTAATTGGCTAGGTGCAAGTAGGAGAAGATTACCATATTTTTCAGAGTATAAGATGCACCTTTTCCCCTCAAAAAAGAGGCTGAAAATCTGGCTGTGTCTTATACACTGAATACAGCTGTGTCTTATACACTGAATTTTGGCCTCCCCAAACCCCGTCCCCTTTGCAAAAATGGCCGTGCATAGCCTTTAGGAGGATCCCAGAGTGCTCCTGGGGGCTGCGGAGAGCAAAAATGAGCAAGAAAATGGGTCGTTCCCTCCCCCCCCCCAGCCTCCAGGAGCATTCTATAAGCCTCCTAAAGGCTATGCATGCCCCTATTTTTGCGAAAAATGGGGCATTTTATGCTCATTTTTGCCGCCACCAGCCCCCAGGAGCACAAGCCTCCTAAAGGCTATGCATGCTCTTTTTATGACAAAAAGGGCCCATTTTTGGAAAAAATTGACCATTTTGGGGAGGCCTGCAGAGTGCAAAACCTTTTTTTTAAAAAAATTCCTCTTCAAAATCTTCGTGCGGCTTATACTCCGGTGCATCTTATACTCTGAAAAATACGGTATTTAAAAAAGGCCATCTAGTATTAATTGAAGCATCAGATAACAGCTTGAAGTACCCACCTCAGATTCTGTGGATATGGCATGCCATGTGTGACTATGGTGCTTTCCAAGGCAACAACTGGTTTTCTACTCTCCATAGCTTCTTTTACCAAGGGATGAATGTTGAAGTCACCATCTAAAATAAAATATATTCAACTACTCGTTATTAATGATTCCAGAATGAACTAAACTGCATTTCTGCCTTTCGTCCATGTAACAAAACAAAAAAATGTCACGCTTATGCCATGCAATTGGTATGGTTTTATTTTCTTATGTCCTACAGGGCGTGGATGTTACTGCCAGAATAATATATTAGCATTTGATTGTGATAAATATAAAGTAGACATGTTTAGAGTTAGGCAGAAACACCCCTCCCCCCAATGAAATGTTGGACAAACAGAAATTGATCTAGTTTTCTCTTAATACCAACCTGAAATTTAATATTTCAAGCTGAAGGAATTTTTAAATAAAAGCATTAAGATGAAAGGCTGGTCCAAACAAGAATGGTTCCCTACTATTCTGGACCAACCTGGCAGCAGATGGTGTGCCTTATTCTCAGGTTATTAAAGCAAAAATTATAATACCAGATATTACATGGCATGAAAATATAAGGCTTATATTAACTTGATCAATTATATATCTTCCAACAATAATCTTTAAAATGGTTTTATGGGTCATAAAAACTACTCAAACTATTTGAGTATGGAAATAAGGACATAACCATTGTTCTTTCCAGCACATCAACATGTTAGCTACTAGCTAAAACTGACTCCTATGGCTACATAATATACAGAATATAGGCTACATAAATTATTGTCTATGACCTATTTAATCCCATAAATAATTCTGGTCAGTTTATTGTGTTACATTTTACATTTTACATTTTTTCTGTTGTATTTTTTCACTCATGTTTAAGCACTTATATAGTTTTTTTTAAATTGTCCATGTGTTTTGTGTTTTGTTCCTTTTTTGTCATTATTTTAAGAGCAATTCAAAATTATTTTAAAAATTGTAATTCAAAAATTACATATTTAATTCAGGGGTGAAATGCTCTGAAGCCTGCTACCGGTTCACTTCGCTGCGTGATTGTCAGAACTTTTTTTTTTTACTTTTTAAACCATTTTTTACTACCAGTTCAGGTAAACTGGCCCAAACCGATAGCATTTCACCCCTGATTTAAGTCATATTTCTTACAATTTGAACAAATCAGGCAAATGTACAATTTGAATAGAGAATCAGAGATTTGTTCTTAAAGTGTGATTTTTCCTTGTTTTGTAGGATAAATACATCTTCCTGGTATAATAATTAAAACAGAAACCCTAGACTGGGACATAGTTTTTTTATATTAGACAATTTTTGTAATGAAAATTGCGTATTATTGTGTAATATTGTGTAATATCTCCATTTGCTGCATTATAGGGGAGACATAAGCCACTTCATTTGCATTAGGTATCTGTTACAATAACTTTCAGTTAGAAAAATTTCCTATACTATCTACAGAATATGATTGCTCCCTTATTCAAAAGATCAGATATTATTTATTTAGATTTATATGACTACCCCTCTGGCTACAATTGTTCCTGTTAGAACAAAGTTTAAAAATAAAGAAGCACAATATAGGTCCCTGTTAAAACATACAAAATACAATCCAAAGAAGAAACAGTAGCTGACAATTTTTAAAAACCTACAAAATAATATCAAACCATCCAGATTTCACTAACCTAAGTTTAAAACAGATACATTTTCTTTTTTTAAAGGTTAAGAATTTTTATATAGCATGAAAAAAGAGATGCAAGATATTAAAGAGACAAAAGAAAATAACTTGTTTAGAATATATGAATAACTGCCAATCTTTTAAACAGGGAATTACAATCTTTTCCCCATTCCGTCTTAGACATCATCATCCCTTCAGCCCCTAATTCAATCACATCTTTCTTAATCTTTAAATCCACATATCATTATTTCTTTCAAAGACAAAGATATTTTCATGATAGCATAAAGCCCTTATAGTTACAGTCTAGAAAATAGTGTATTTTTTATTTGAAAATCTAGAATTAAAATGACATTTCCTTTTACCCTGTTTTATTCTTATAACTTAACCACAAATATACATAATGATTTTGCATTGTTTAATTTGGCTTAATATTATATATTTCATTCTATTCTGCAATGATGTCTTATCAATCTGTTTTCATCTGGAGGTGGGTAAAGTTTAAAGAAATGTTTGTGAAAAGCAGGAATCTGGTAGCAATTTTCCTAATTAACAAATGATATTCAAAGGTATACACTCTGTAATGATTAAAGTTGGAACTTTAATAAAGAAAATAAAATTTGGTCCATTCACTTAAAATGGAAACCAAACCAAACTCTATGAATCTACAGTCCAGACACAACATTCCATTTTTAACAGTTGCGTGCAAGTTAAATTATGCCTGCCTCTTTTACATTTGATCACATCAGTCTCCAAAATAAAGGAGTAATCTTTTCAGGGTACACTCACTATGCAAAGATCTTCGCAAACAGGGTAGATAATGTGCCAATGCAGCATTGCTATTCCACAATATAAAGTGAGTCTTCCAATCATTTTTTGCCAGAACAGAAAACCAATTCATGAGTGCAGATCTGCAAAAAATAAAACGGTGGTAAATGTGAAAGACCAAATAAAAATATTTGTGTTATAGAAGAATGTGTAAAAATCCAGACAGAGATCAAATTGACAAATTAGGCAGTAACACAACTTGTTGATTGTCACTTTGATTGCAAAATGCAGCCATAAAATGTTTTGTACCTGCAATAAATTCAAATCATGGTTTTGTGGTATGTGTGAACCCAAGGCAGTAAGATATTATCATCTCCATTCAGATCTGTAACAGAACTGAAGACATTCTTGTGGCATTGGGACTGAAACTGATTATTTTAGTTCTACTTAGACCCAATCCTATTTAATCACATGATTTGAGTAATATATGGATACATTGTGTTATTACATTGCAACCTGAAATGAATCACTGTAAAAATGGGAATGCAATAAAAAAAATCTGTGAAATTTGTCTATTATATTTATATACCAATTCTCACGAATGAAGGCAACATATACATATTCCAGGATGATGTTGCAGGATCCAGTCTGGGTTCGTTCACCAGAGGTTTAGTCTTCAGACTTGTGCTGGAGCTCAATTCCCAGGGAATTTCTCTCTACCAGAATGTGTGTAAATAGATTGAATTCTGCAATATACCAATTCTTTTCACTAAGCTAAAAAGTGCTTTGATCTGTACATAGTTCAAAGATAAGTAGAATAGTCGGATATTTAACTGTAGTAGAGTACTTTAAACTGCCACTTTGTGCAGCAAAGGAGCAAGTGACTTGTGTCCTTCCAGACTTAAAAAGATTAACGTAGACAAAAAGCTAAATAATTGCATTGTGTTATGTTATATTTTAAAAGCATAATTCCAAACCCTTTCAGAAGTGCAACTCCACTTCAGTCTCTGTTAGGTGGGATCAAGGATAGCTTTTCTTTTTATCTTGTAACATTTTGTTTCTGCTTCTATTAAGAATAATTTAAAATATTTTGTAGGATTATTTCTTGTAATCAGTTTTAACCACATTCATTTTAATTCCAGCCTTGTATCTATTCCTCCACTTCAACATTGCAAAAGGTATCTCTTTGGCCTTGCAGATTAAAGACTTGTAACTCTAGTTCAGATTCCAAGGAAGTTTAAATTAATATACCTCTCAATCAAATGCTGTTTGATTTAATTTCAAATCAGCTTAAACCTCTGTTCATGCTTACTTTAAAAATTAAGCACGTTTCACCAGTGTGTTTCTAAACTTTCCCATCTATCTCAGCCAACACTGTACAGTATTCTCAGTAAACTATTTTGGATTTTTATGCCAAGAAATTTTTGTTTCCCCGTCCATGAAGTGATCTTACATTTAAAGAACATTAATCTTTGTCCTGGAAAAAAAAAGATGGTCCTATAGCCAACTCCTTACCTCTGTCATGTATTCCTTGCGATCATACACTGACTGAAATTTTAATGGGAACTGGGTAGAATTGCAACAGAAGAATCTTGGTGGCTTCATCTGTGCTGCATTTCAGCTCCAGACTAGTGTTGACCAAGTCCATTTATCATTAACATCAACAGAAAAAAACAGGTGGGAGGCTGGAACCATTCAATGCTCTGAAGAAAGGGGAGACTAAAATATCAAATTTCCAGCACCAATTGAGAAATTTCCTTTTGAGAAATTAAAAGCAGATTTGAATAAATCTGAGGCACTATGTTTTCAGAAAAGTTCAATGAAAGTTCAAAAGATAACTGTATTGCAAAAAGTAGTTTTGTCAATTTATCATCCAAAATAAGATGAACTTGCTCCTGTCTAGACACTTAACTTACATCCATCCTGGCTATTCATTATTCTTTGAAACCTCTACCACTATTAGCTGTCAGGGTTTAAATTTTAGTTGATTGAAATAAGACTCTCATCACCTGCTCAGTCAAGGAGCTATGATGGAATGTTTAGAAATATTCTTACTTTTCAGATATAAACTAATAAAAACAACTCTCCATGCTTAGGACAGAAGGACAGATGAAGTTATATTTCTGCTGGTGATATGTGTCTATTGATATGTTGATCAATTGATTCATGTATTATCCTAAATTGTAATTTAATCATTTTATCAAATAAGTCATAGTTGGGCTTACACGACATGCTAAGTTATAATGTTTAAAAACTAAAATATCTGAATCCACAGAATATGTTCAAAACCAATTTTTAATAAACAAATTAATAATAGTGTTTAAATCCAGCTCACGGGTTTACATTTTCATTAACCCATAAATCAACATTGAGTTCTCAAATTGGTGAAACATATTTTAGCTTAAGAATTATATGTCATTCCTTAGTACAAAAATCCTAGTTTTTCAATATTACTTAAAATAGCAAATTATTCATTTTAACTGAAAATATAGATTGAATTCATTAAAGTGGAACAGATGTCATGTTTCTTGTACCATTTATTTTGTATTGAATGATTTATCCCAAAGATGCTTTTTCAAGAGGCAACTAGACTTTCTGGGGGCTTTCTTTGAAGACATTTCACTTCTCATCCAAGAGGCTCTTCAGCTCTGATGGGGAATCGAGTCAGAACCGAAGAATCTCCATGGACATTTAATGATTTAGTTTTGAATGTTGTTAGAAGTTTTTAATAGAACTCTTAAAAGTTATTCCATCAATGGGGAAAGTAAAAATATTTTTTCCTGCACTTTAGGATGGTCCTTGCTGTGACAAGTAGGAGCAACATAACCCTGCTGTGCAATGGTGGGATTCAGCCAGTTCGCACCACTTCGGGAGAACCAGTTGTTAACTGTCTGAGCAGTTTGGTGAACTGGTTGTTGGAAGAAATCATTAGGGCAGAGAACCGGTTGTTAAATTATTTGAATCCCATCACTGCTGCTGTGTGAAGTCACCCTGAGTCAAGAATAATCCAAGATCTGAATTTTTATTTCTACATGTATCCTAAATATAGGCACTGTATACACAGAATCTACTTAAGGGCATTTGTTTTATTTTATTTATTTTGTCAAGCATGTATAGCAGATATAAAGATAAACATACAGGGAATGGATACGAATAAGTGGGGACAGTAGGACAGCGATGGTAGGCACTTTGGTGCGCTTATGCACACCCCCTTTACGGACCTCTTAGAAATGAGGTGAGGTCAACAATAGACATTTAAGGTTAAAGTTATGGGGATTTGGGGATGAAACCACAGAGTTAGGTAGAGCATTCCAGGCGTTGACCACTCTGTTGCTGAAGTTGTATTTTCTGCAATCGAGTTTGGAGCAGTTTACCTTAAGTTTATATCTAGTGTGTGCTCATGTATTGTTGTGGTTGAAGCTGAAGTATTTATTGACAGGTAGGACATTGTAGCAGATAATTTTATTTACTACACTTAGGTCAGATCAAAGATGGCGAAGTTCTAAGTCGTCTAAGCCCAAAATTTCGAGCCTGGTGGTATAAAGTATTCTGTTGTGAGCAGAGGAGTGGAGGAATCTTCTCATGAAGTATCTTTGGACTTGCTTAATTGTGATATGCAGTGTGGGTTCCAGATGATGAGCTGTATTCGAGAATAGGTCTAGCAAAGGTTTGCAATACAAAATTACCAGCTACCAAAGATTAGGATGACAATTCTTAATGCCTTTTTGGCAATGCTGTTACAGTGAGCTCTGGGACGTCGATCATTAGAAATGAGTACTCCTTGTAATTGTTACCCTGACATGGCACTGTCTTTTCAATAAAGTATTTTTTTTAAAAAAGGAATGAGTACTCCCACGTCCTTGACAGTGAGGGTCATCCATGAGGTCGAAGCTGAAAACGTCAATAAACGCCGGCTTTGACCTGCTTGTTTCTATTGCCTGAATGAGAATCCTTCCCCACGTGTACATGCAGCGCACCACGCGAAAGGCAACAGAAACATCACGCCACGCGACTTAATTTCACCACGTCA